AATTGCCTACTTAATGTCCTGCAATTTCTCACCTGTTAAAAACATTATGTAAACAATATTATACGATATTTTGGAATTGCCTAACAACTTTTACCTAAAGAATCTTAAAAATTAATGTTAGTTGAGAAATACCGATAATACTAGAAAGAAAAACTTATTTAAAAACTAGTAAAAAATTGAATCCAATCCCATGATATGAAGGGAAACAATTTGAAAAAGTCTAAGGAAACAATGTTGTTGCAGATAGATAATAATGTCGAAATAACATTTCTCTTTTAACTTTGTCAATTGGAACTAAGAGGTGGTTTAGGTACCACTTAAATAAATTGTTTATTTGTTTATTAGTTTATTTCTGTCATATCACATCTCTATTTATTTTTTTTATACATCTTTTTGTAATAATTAAAAGTCAAAAATAAATTATACACAAACTACCCCTAAAGTGTGGACAAAGTTCTTCAATTGTATCATTGACATTATTATTTGCATCAAAGTCCCTAGGGAGTGTGAAATGAAGAAAAGGGTAAACAGACAACACGGCAAGTTAGATTAATAATTCATCCAAAAGATGCTTCACATTTTTTTTTTGTAAGCCACGTTTTCGGCATTGCCTTCTTCAAGATTACTGACCTTGAAGATTAAGATAATTTCTTATAACAAAATTTAAAAAATGACTCAATTTAGGAGATTTATATTAAAATAAGATATAAAAAAAATCGGATTTCATAAAACAAAATTAAAAAGATTGACTCAATTTACAAGACTTTTATTAAAATGAGGTTCTTGCTAAGGGTTGTCAATAAAAATGTCAAAAAATGTGTAATCTCAATACATTCCTCACGTATCTATAATATCTTCATACATCTTAATGCACTTATTATCGTCATTTTCACACGCAAAATTCTATTATATATACCCATTTATCATACTATATACACTCTTAATTATATTATTTTTTTCTTTAATTATAATTAATTTTCTTCTTTAGTGATGACATTATTTTAAGATACTTGGTTATAATTTTTTGTGACTTTATTTTATTTTAATTATGACTCAAAAAATATAAAATTATAATTTCTTCTATAATTAAAAGGTACATATGGTATACACTCACAAAAAATATATATCATAATCTTTCTTTTTTCACACATACACTTCATATCGTTATTTCTGACGAGACAAATTGTGTGATTTTCTCAAAATCATTATATATATATATATTTAACAAAAAATATCTGAGATTTCGTCTCAACCAATATAAAGGGCTACATTTCCAGCCCATATTTCAAAGATTAGAAAACCTCATTTCAATGGTAGTTGGGAAGAGTGTCATGAATGCAAAATTGAAAGTTCAGTCATGTTTTTTAATGAGGGACGCATGACATGTCTGTCTGAGGGGTCTAATGTTTTGTTTGTGGTAGCTTGTAACTAAGGGGAAAAGATGTGACGAATTATATGAGCAACAAATAGCTTAGTTGTTAATGAATTGGGTTGGATCAGTAATTTAAGATAATATGCACACCAACCTTTTTTAAAGTTGAGTCATTATTAAATAAAGTACGCCTATAAATTATCATTACCATCTAATCTCCTGTTAAATGAGGTCTTATTCTGACCAATTTACTGGCATTGAGTGCGCAAAGGGAGAAATTTTTTATCAATATTTTATCAACTTTAATACTCTTTTGTTTGTATCTCAACCTCAACTGAGAAAATAAATTAGACAACGCAAGTTCAATACAACTGAAATCACTTGCTGAAACACCTTCAATAACACCGATTTTTATATCGTCCACCTCTATTCACCTGAACATTACAAATAAGAATACATAAATTTATAATTCTAAACAGTTTTAAAGTACATTTGACTCCTTAGCGTAATCTTGCATTATTTTCCACTAATAGTAGCAGCCACTAAATATATGGCACCCTTCTGAATACTGCCAACATTTCCCAATAACGTATCTTTGTAGTCCGTCCAAACATCAACTGGGAAGAACTGGTTCACAACTTCTATCTCATAACGAACGTACTCTTTATCCTTTCCACCAACCAACTGGAATCTCATTTTCTTTAGCATCCGAATTGGTCAGGATCAACGATCCAGATCTCAGAATTACCCTTGCCAACTCCAATATATATCTTGTCAGGTGTGGGAACGGAATCTGACGGACTATTATCACTTATGACGAAAAACAATACGTGGTGGACCACAACTTCGTCTTTAGCATTTTGTTCCAATTGAACATTCCCAATTAATTTTATACTCTTAACCACGATCTTGTCTGATTGACAGTCACATCTTTTATTACTCAACTCAATACCATTCAGTAATCTTGCTACACCTTTATTATCAAATTTAACGTCCCTTAATTGTTCATCGTAAAGTTGTAACCTCCTTACTCCCCTCTTAGTCTTCTTAATATATCGAGGAATATTCTAAATGTATTGTCTGCGAACGTACGCCGCCTTAAAAGGTACAAGACCATAGTAACTACGCTTATATCCACTAGCCGCCAGTGTCCTTGACCTCCGATACGTAAAGGGAGTCCAATACTGACTGTTCATTACTCTTTTCATTTTTGATAAAATTGTGATGCCCCAAATTTTTGGAACATCAAGAGAAATGAAATAAACAAAATGACTTAATAAATTAAAAAGTTGACATCTTAATTAGACATTCCAACTCTCGTACAGAATTAAAGGTTCAAACAACAATAAATAAAAACTTAAAATTATCTAAATACAATATCAAATGAAATTATAAAGTCCTTAATATCTATTATATAAAATAATAAAATTTATTCAACTCTAATCAGGGTTTCAAGTTAGCCAAGGCTCTACGTTAGCGTCAACTCTATTTCAGCTTCAATTATTTCCTCGCCAAAACTTGGCATAAAACGCTAGGGCAACAAAAATATATGCCATGAGTTTTGCAACACAGTAAGAAAACATAACCAACCTACCATTCTTTTTAAGAGAAAAATAATGAGATTATAGAGATAATAATATAATTGTAAACATAAATTATAACCATTAAAATAATTTCAATAATTCTAATAAATTAGTTGACACTCGAAATCTCACCAAAGAGATTTAACTTACCAACCACTAAGCATGACAACGGTTAATTTGAAACCCTTCACTGGTCAAATATTCAAGTGTTACCAACCTTAACTACTAGGGATGCCCACGTCCGGAGTTATATACCCAAGTAGTGACATTCGTGGTCTGTCTCAAGGAAACAGTCTGCCAGGGTTACGTAACCTACCTGTGTGCCACCTGCACATCCACCCTTATTTCAAAATCGAATACCGAAAAGGGTTTAAATAAGTCTCGAGCCATCTCAGGGTTTCGCGACACAATTTACGTGAGAATTCTCAAAACCAGGGCTCACCCTGAACAACCGGTATGAACCGTCAACCCTTAATTTTGTATACTCTTTAAAACCAAGACTCACCCTAAACAACTGGTATTAACCGTCAATTGTTAACTTTGTATATGCCGTTAACCATTTCAATTAGTTTTATATTAATCACAAATAATTCAAATTTTTATTCACCAATAATGTTGTATCAATTCATTAAAATTCCCAACATAAAATATTACACATGTCACACAAAAATAAATCAATGTACAAAATTTAAATAAACAATTAATTTAAACCATGGTATGAAATAATAATGTAGATACCAAAAAGAAATAAGTCATAATCACACACATGCATGGATTTTCAATCTATAAGATTAGACTAGTGCAATATTAAATTTTAGTCCAAATAAACAATTGAAGAGAAAATTTTTGATTCCTCATGAATCTGCCAAAATTTTCAGAATGTATCTCTCGCAAATAAAATTATAAATAAACTACTTATACAACTTTAAAATTCATATAAATCTACATAATACTCAATAAATATTTTATGGTCATTTTTCAAAAATAAATTATAAATAATTCTTAAAAATTCCAAGAAAGTTTATGACACAGATTTATCATATTTTCTTAAATTAATTCCATACTTAAATTTATAAATCAATTCCATAATATAAAAATTTATTATGAAACTAGACTTCTCAAATTTTATTTCTTGTTTAGAAATTACTACATTTGGTTTAATATAAAATTTTTAATAATTTTTCAAACACATAGTAAAATCTGCCTATAGCTCCAGGTTTGGTTAAAAATCTATATAAATTCGTACAAAACTCAATAATTGTTGCAAAAATTCATGGATGAATTAGACATCATTATAAACAACTTTGTAGAAGAAATCATTTCAAAATTTTCAGTATAAAATTGTCTAAAAATTCATACAACTTTCTGGCAGATTCAATGACCAAATAAAATTTTCAATCGTCTCTTTAATGGTATAAACACTACAAAAAAATTGACTTTTTGCGATACTCCTAATGCCGTCGCTAATACTTTTTGCGACGGGAAAATGACTTTTTGCGACGGCAAGAGGGGTCGCAATTGCAGGGGTTGCAAAAGAGTTTTTGCGATGGCACAGTGCCGTCGCTAATGTTTTGCGACAGCATTTTTGCCTTTTTGCGACGGCACTGTGCAGTCGCTAATAACGTTTGACATTTCTTAACTTTCTTGCGACGACACTATTTTACAGTCGCTAGTAGTCTTTTTTGCAACGGCAAAAACGCTATTTTGCGACGGTGTGGTGCCATCGCAAAAAGTATTAAAAATATGAAAATTTCTATTTTTTACGACAGTGTAATGCCGTCGCAAAAAGTATTAAAAAATAATAAAATTACTATTTTAAATAATAAAATTTCTATTTTTTGCGACAGTATAACACCGTCGCAAAAAGTAAAACCTGTAACAAAATTAATAAAAATATTAAAATTTTCTATTTTTTGCGACGGTGTAATGCCGTCGCAACAAAGAAAAATCATCCTACGATAAAAGGGAAAATTTAAGTACAAAAATTGTTGCACTGATATACATGATAGACATCTGCTCCACCAATATAAAGATATGTAGGAAGCATTAAAACACATAATTTTTTCCCTATACCTAGCAATAGGGGTATGGCATGGTGAGATTTTTTTTTTGGGCGATACGTGTGGCATAACGAAACTTTTGCTAGAATTATCACAAAAATAGATCACTGCATTAGCCACCCAACTCTTGGAAGACTTAAATGCTAACACTCTCCTAGCCAAAAATTCATGCTTGGCCACACTTGCTTAGACATGCAATTCCCTCTTCTAGGTAATCTTCTCTGCTAATCCAAAACTCCGGTGCATCCTGCACGAGTAATCAAATTTCTCAATGTCCAACTTCATATCAATTCATGTTTTTGTTCCCTGTATCTAAAAAATTGCTTTTTGTTAAGAAAATTATTTTCCCTTTATTTATTTTTTCTTTTCTTGCTTTCATTTTTTGCTCTTCATTTCAGTTTGCTTTTCACAAATCTGAAAGCAACAAATGCACCGTCCAAATATTGTGGTCTACTTTTAGAAGCACAAGACATACTTAACATGGGGGTGAAAAATGCAAGTTGACAAAACACATCATTGAAACCACTGTGTCCTGGTTTGTATGAGAGAGAGAGAGAGAGAGAGAGGCAACACTGTACCTTCATAATTCCTGCAAGGACTGCTCCTCCAAGGTACACCATATGCTTTCTTCGCGGTGGATCCTCTATCCGCAACCGTAGTTTCTGTTAGAAGTAGAGGAAGATCAGAAGAATTGTTAGCTAACATGAAGTGAGAGCCTCATTGTTAAATTGGATGAACAAAATTAAAAAAAAAAAAACATGATATTTTTTCCTTTTTTCTTCTCCTTCCATACCATAACACATGTAACTTGGGTCTTACCTTTAACCCATCCTTGTTTCCCTTCAGAACAGCTTCAAGATAACGGTCTAAAATTTCTTTCTCCAGGCTGTAGGAAAATAAAAATGAAAAACTTCAAAAACTAAATTTAAAGCTATACCGAAGTATCAGAACTAAATAGGGCATCTCCTTGGGTTCTTACAAAACTAGATTAGCGATTCACTATTAAAATCACAAAGGCAGATGACTACTTTAGTTGCAAGACTGTAAAACATGCGGACAGATGTTTTCCAAGAGAAGAACATAGAGCAATTAAGACCAAGTTTTCAAAAAGTCCAATAAGTTGAAAAATCACTGCAAATATAACTTGTGAGAGACAAATTAATCACCAAGAAGAAAGCAGTGCAATGATTTTATATAATGCAAAAGGGGATTTAAACTTCTTATCGACTAGGCAATCCAGGATACATAGTACTCCCCCTACTTAAAACTATGTGTTGGTAGAGCTGTGAAAAATAAAACAAATTAAAAGTTAAATAAAACAAAATAAATGAAATAAACCCAAATGCATTACAAAGTGTATATGGCATGAGGTAGGGAGTGGTCCATGGCAAAAGGACCTGCCTTTATAGCTGTAGTACATATACCCATCAATTTGGATTCTTCAGTTGATCAAATATACCGATCAATTTACAAAGTGTCTTAGAAAGTTGTACAAACCAACAATTTTAACCTATTCACAATCATCTTGTTAAAGTACATATGCAGAGGAAGTGTGCCCATATTTTAATTAAGGTACAAAGATCCATCAACCAGCCCTCACAGCTGTGTATATGTACCAAATAGTGGAAGAGATAAATTCCCATTTTCTTGAAGATAAGTAACTAACAAGAAAAACAGACTTACGGGAGTAAAAAGAGTCTCTGGAGCTTGGAACCGTTCTGTGCCAACTTTGACGACCCTTCCATCTGGTAGCTGATTAAAGTAATTTTCTTAATAAATTAACAAAACGCAAAAACAATTTTAACAAGAAAAAGAATCACCTATGTCAAACATATGGTTTTAATGTCTTAGAAACTAGAAAATGAAGACACCAATGAGAAAAGGTCAAATGATATATGTATAACTGCTAAAGTATTCAATAGGAAAACATGAAACTTTTTTTAATTTTTTTATATAAGTTACTAATAATGCTTAGAACCTCTCTATTTATAAAACTTCAGTGGAAATTCTCAAAACTAAAAATAAAAAACAAAATAGAAATAGAAATAAAAATAAAAAATAGTTGGTGTGCTGAAAAAGGGTGCAAAACACGTACCCACTAGAGATACCAAAAGGGCAAATTCCTGCACCAGCTACCAAGTAACAGACCTCAATGCCCCCCCACTCTTGGTCCCATAGGATGGACTTAGCTGGGGCAGTGGTTGGTCATCAAGTTAACCAACCAAAAATATTTGCCAACATATTTGCCAATTAAAAAAAAAAATTGCATATTACATCCTGTAATACACAACCTGTAGCATGTGAAATTGCATATTACATCCTGCATATTACATCCTGTAGCATACAAAACCCACACACAAAACCCACACAGTGCCATACAAAACATTGAGAATTGAGGCACTGCCACACACATTACATCCTACACACAAAACCCACACAATGCCATACACAAAACCCGCACAGTGCCATACATCCTGTAACATTGAGACTGCCATACAAAACCCATACACAAAACATCATGTAGCATACAAAACATTAAGAATGTCATCATTGAGACAATGCCATACAAAACTCATAAAATAGCATCCTGTTTCTCCAAGAAAATTCAGCAGCCCATACACTACCCCCACGCAAGAAAATTCAACAAGTAGCAAAGAAAATAATTAATCCCAAGCACAAGGAATAGGTTACCCAAAAATTGAAATTAAAACTTAAAAAAAAAATATCCATTACAAGATAAAAAAATCAAATCCATTGTATTCCAATCCCAGTTAAGTACAAATGGGAACCCAGCAAAATAGCATAAATGAATTAGTACACGCCTTGAATTAATGATTCACAGATCAAGATAAAAAGTTGACTAAAAGCATAAAAATTTCCATAACTAAGGAAAACTACTAAAACAAAAGGAGGCGTATATAAATACTGGACAAGTTGGAGACATGTTTAGATACCAAAAACAAACTCCCATTGGCAAAATGGCAAAATGGAGATCAACTACATGGAGATCAAAATGGCATAATGGAGATCAAAACGGCAAAATGGAGATCAAAATGGCAAAATACCAAAATGTCTAAATACATAGAGATCAATTAGATACCAAAAACAAACTCTCATTGGCAAAATGGAGACATGTTTAGTACTGAGAAACAACACTTCCTAGTTTAAAGATACTTGAAAACAAATCATATTCTCTGCTACAATTTATTTCCCAAGATAGCTTAACCAAGATGACATTGCATCCCCATAAATCAAATATATATATATATATATGTAACAGATCAAAAACTCAATAAAAGATCAACTCATATATATATATATATATATATATATATGTATATATTTAAAATAAATAAATAGAAAGGATATGTATGCTAAGCTAATGTATAATGTAAAGTTTAAAGGATAGAAATTGAATTACTCTCCAATTGCTTCTAAAAGAAGGCTGTCGTGTTCGTCCACAGCAGAGAGGCTGGTATGAGTAGTAGTACTAGGCAAGTCTGCATGGGAAAAATAGATCAAGAAAAAAACTAGATCATATATATATATATATGTAACAGATCAAAAACCCCCTATATACACTCACAGATATATATACATATGTGTGTGTGTGTATGAAAACCCCCTTATATCCGAAATCCTGACACAGAGAGAGAGAGAGAGAGAGAGATACCCTTTGAAATCGACGGTGAGGGAAGATCGCCGGCGAGGGAGGAGTGGCGGTGACGGACGAGCAACCGTCAACGTCGTCTGAGAGAGAGAGAGAGAGGGAGGCAGCAGCGGCGGTAAGGGAGGAGGATCGACAGTGAGGTATGAGCGACGGTGAGGGAGGATCGGCGGTGACGGATGATCGGTGCCGTCGTTGTGTAAAAGAGAGAGAGAGGAAGGCGAAACCCTAGATGGAGAGAGCAGGAGGAGAGGAGACGGCTCTGTTGTGTTTGTGTTGTGTGTGTGTTCTCAAACAAAACCCTACACACACCCACAAATGTTATAATTAATGAATTTTTTATTAAAATAAAAAATTATTAAAATAATTTTTATAGTTAATGAATTTTTTTTTCATTTAGTAAGGTTAAAAATTTATTTGCTTCATATTTATTTTAATGAATAAAAAATTATTATTATTTTTTTATTTGGTAGAAGTAGGGATAATATTTTCCATTAAAATAAAGTTAATTTTTTGTGGTCAATGAAAAATATTTTTTTGTGACCCATTTTTTTTTTTTTTTGTTACTAAAAATCAAGAACTATTTTTTTGTGATAAAGGATAGGAAGTGGCAGTAGTGGTGAAAGTGGTGGATAAGAGGTGATAGTGGTGGTGGTAGTGATGGTGAAGAAGATAAGTGGTGAAGTTGTGGTAGTAGTAGAGGAGATAGAATAGCAGTGGTAGGGGAGAGATAATGGTAGTAGTAGTGGTGGTAGTGGAGTGGTAGCGATGGTGGTAGTAATGATAGTTGTAGAGGTGGAGTGACAACAGTGATAGTAGTGGAATGACATTTGTAGTAGTGGTGAATGTGGTAGAGAAGATAGGTGGTGAAAGAGAGATGAGTGAGAGATAGATAGAGGAGAGATGGAGAGAGAGAGAGAGAGAGAGAAAGAGAGAAAGGCAGACAGACAGACAGAGACAAAGTGATGAGCGAGAGAGAGACAAAGTGGTCGCTAAAAGTACATTTTCTTGTAGTGGATAACTCGGTAAATAGAGAAGAGATGAGGGAGAGAATGAGCAAGGTAAACACAATGGGGGAGAGAGACAAATAGACAGACAGACACATAGAGAGAAAGACAGAAACAGTAAATCGATATTTACACAGTAGTGGTAATAGTGGTAGTAGTGGTAGTAGTGGCAGTGGAGTGGTGATGATGATAGTAGTAATGGGTGAGAGAGATAGAGAGATGAGCGAAAGAGACAAAGAGAGAAAATAGATGAGAGAAGAGATAGATGAATGAAAGACACACAGAGAGAGAGAGACAAATAGACAGAGAGAGAGAGAAGAGTAATGAATGAGAAAGAGAAAGAAAAGAGAGAGAAAAAGATGAAAAAAAGGGTGAAAAGATATAGACAAAGAGAGAGAGACAGAAAGAGAGACAAAAAAAGAGCGAAAATAGATAAATGAGAGAGAGACAGAAAGAGATGAGCAAGAGAGCGAGAGAGAAAAAAATAAGAGAGAGAGAAGAGAGACAGAGAGAGAAGATATATGAAAGAGATAGAGAGAAGAGAGATGGACGAGAGACGCAGAGAAAAAGAGAGAGACAGACAGACGGACAGATAGAGAAGAGTGATGAGTCAGAGTGAGAAAGAGAAGAGAGACAGAGACACAGAGAGAAAGAGAGAGACAGACAGAAAGAGAAGAGTGATGAGAGAGAGAGAGAAGAGAGACAGAGACACATAGAGAAAGGGAGAGACAGACAGACAGAGAAGAGTGATGAGTAAGAGAGAGAAAGAGAAGAGAGACAGAGACAGAGAGATAGGAAGATGAAAAAATGGGTGAAAAGAAAAATGTTCAAAAGAGTAAGACGACGTCGTTTATAGTGGATCGATAAATCGAGAAGGAACTCGATAAATAGAGAAGATGAGAGTAAGAGAGTGAGTAAGGCGAACGTAGTGAGGGAGAGATAGACAAATAGACAAGTAGACAGAGAGAGAGAGAGAAAGAGAAAGAGAAGAGTGATGAGTGAGAGAGAGACAGTGAAAGAGAGAGATAGATAGAAAAAGAGATAGACAAAGAAAGAGAGAGAGAGAGAGAGATAGAGGGAGAGATAGAAAAAAAGAGAGAAACAAGAGATGAACGAGAGATAGACAAAAAAAGAGAAAAATAGAGCGAAAAGAGATGAGCGAGAGAGAGACACAGAAAAAAAGAGAGACAGAGAGAGAAGAGAAATTGACAAGAGAGATAGATAGATAAGAGAGAGAGAGAAAAGAAATGAGAGAGA